ATATATATATATATATATATATATATATATATAAAATAGTTACATTTAGTAGAATATTTGTTTTAGAAATATTACAAATGTTTAAAATTTTCTGTGCTCAGATTAATTTTTTTTTTTAATTTAAAGAATTCAATCTCAACACAGAAAACTTTAAACAATTGCAAAATAAAATACATTTTGTCGAACGTAGTCAATGATACTGATAAATATTAAAAAAATAATAGAATCTACTAGTAAAATCCATCAATAATCCAATAAGATTGATGGAAGAAACAAAACAGAATTGGACATCTAATGGCAAATTGTCGGTAGAAATAGAACAGAATTTGTCATTAAATACAATAATTATCACTAGATAGTGTTTGTTTATTGCATATACAATTTGTCTGATTTCTCTATATAATTGAAATCTATATAACTAAAACTCAGACATGTCATAATTATTTGCATATAGTTTATACATGCATTTGGTGTAAGACAATGATTGTTTTTATTGCAAGGAAAATTGATGAGGAAAATTAATGTAATATTTAGAATGCTAGAAACATGGATCATAATCACAATTGTCACTTCTTCGATTTTTGATCGGAGACTCCGATTTTTTAAATAAATCTTATATGCGAATAATTTGTATTACCTTCTGTTATAAAAAAAAATCTTCGATAAAAAGCATATTTTTTTTAGGAATAATATGATAAAAATTAGATTTTGAAATATATCGAATATATTGATAAACTAATCTTCAATAGATCTATATTTTAAAGTGACAACTATGACTATGATATATTTTTATATTTTTAGAAAATCCTCGAAATCTGTCGTAAAAAAATATTAATTTCACTATTAATAAAACAATCATAAATTATTCTCTTAAAATAAAAAATTAAGAAAAAGAAATATAATAAGATTATGAAAACTTACCAATTACAATATAAATAGCTACAATTTAAATAGTTATAAAACGGCTCAGTCTGCTTAATTTTTATTGTCAATTTGTTGACAGATTATGTTAGCAAGTTTTGTTCGATTTCTAATGCTAATTTGTCTTGTAGTCCTGTGATCAAACTCTATTGGCATTCAATCTCGTTTTGTTATATTTCTGCTCATAAGATAGATAAAAAAATAAAGAAATTTTTCTTACAATTCGATACAATTCGATACGATTCGAATTCAAGCTAATTGAACATACTAAAAATTTACTCATTCCAATCGTTTTTGAGATCCAATTTGAGATAATCTCAGGAATTAGATACTTGCAATTGACTCACATGAAGATATATTGACCTCGTGTTCATGAGACACAGAAATGCACACTTGATGCGAGATATTACCATTGTCTTTGATATCACTGCATAGATATTTATTTATTCATTCATTCTTATTGCATTTGGATTAGAAACTGCTTTTTGCATTAAACGAAAAGATCCATCCATTAACATTTCTGTATTCTCTTAATAATCTGTCATTGTTTTCTGTATAAACAGCTACTGTGACTCTAAAGTAAAATATACATATAGCTCTTATAGTTATTTTTTTTACTGTTTTAAAAATAGTTAAACTTATGTTTTAATCTTTTTGTATAATTGCCAGATAAAATGCAGTTATTCAGTAATAATGAATATTGAATTATCCATATATTTCTAATGACTAACATTTTAGATGACTAACATTTTAGAAAAAAATTATTTGTATAATTTATTTACATATAATAATATTTTTTATATTAAAAAGATATTAAAAAACTTTTTTCTTTTATTTTTGTTATAAAAGAATAATATTGAATAGCAATAATGCGACACTAAGCTTCATATTCTGAACTCACTTTTATTAATAGAGGTATCTTAAATATGGCTTCTTAGCCAATCAGGCCGTTTTAAAATATTTTTAGAGACACTTTTGTTAAAAATGAATTCAGAATATGGGTCTATATAGTGCACGCACATATATCTTTTTTTACACAATATATAAAAATCTTTTTTTCGAATTTTATTATTAATTTCAAAGTATCTAAAGTATTATCTACTATAATTTTTTTCATATATTAATTAATGATTTTTTATACCACGATTGGTTTATCTCATTATTCTGTGCATAAAAATATTAAAGATTATTGAAAGATAATTAGTTTATAAGATATTTTATATTTTATATCAAAATATGCATAAAATAGAATATGTCATACACTATTGTTTTTTTTATGATTTTAATATTATGATCCTAATATTTTATATCTAGAATAATCAGAGAAAACATATGTAACAAAAAATTATTACTAAATAATTTTTAAAAATAATGTCCATAAACAGTCTTGACAAATAGCACTATTTTCGAATGAATCATTATATTATAATCATATCTTATCTTGAAATCGTACTCTTTTGTCCGAAGCATTTTTATCTAAAATCTTATAATTTGCAGAAACTGAATTGTCAAAAATAAAATGGAATATACAATATGTCTATATGTATGGTAAAGAAAGATTAAGCGGAACAATTTCTATTTGACACAACACAC